TCCTGGAACTTGCTCTGTAGACCTCGAACTCACAGAGATCTGCCTGCCTCTGCTGGGATTAAGGTGCGTGCCACCAACGCCGGACAATAAGGAATTTTTCGTTTGGAAGACCTTGGGAGTCTACTGTCAGCATGGGAACTTCAGCCGGCTCAAGGGTGTGTGTAAGTGGCCTGGCTCTAGTTCGGGGAGTGGAAGCTTCTGAGTCTGCAGCCTTGGGTGAGTCCGCTCACCCTTCATATCTCAGCGGCTTCTCCCATACCATGTCCATCCGCAGGCTACCACAGTCCGTGACAATGGGCTAGCCCTCTCAAACTGTAAGCCAGTTCCAATCAAATGCTTTCTTTCATAAGAGTTGCCTTATGGTGGCTAAGTCCCAGCACTCGGGAGGCAGAGGCAGACAGAGCTATGTTTAATTCAAAGCCAGTCTTATCTATAAAATGAGTTCCAGGGCAGTCAGGGCTACACAGAGAAACCCTGTTTAGAAGAAGAAAAAAAGAAAAGAAAAAAGAAAGAAAAGAGTTGTCTCTTACAGCAATAGAACATTGACTAAGACATCTGGGTTACTGGATCCTGTTTCAAAAAATTAAAACCAAACAACTAAAGCTCTTTAAAAAGTTAGTAGCATTTAGATGGCCGATAAGCCAGTGTGAAGCCAGAGTGCCATAGGCAATAAAATCACTACAACTTTTTAAACTTCTGTTTGCAATTTTCCGGTTGGTGACTTCAGGGAAATGGCCTAAGCTCTCTGCTAGGGTTTCCTCACAGTGAACTGAGGGTAATGAGAGAAACTTCCTCACTCACATGGTTGTCTTGGGGGCAAAGGAGATAACACAGAATGTAAACAGGAGATTCTCAAACCCACAGGTTTAACCTTTACTCTCTAGGGCCCTCAAATTATATGCAGACAGTGTAAAGATTAGAAAGACAACACATTGCTGGCAGTGTTAATTTTTTTTTTGGTTTTTTTTTTTTTTTTTTTTTTTTTTGGAGACAGGGTTTCTCTGTGGCTTTGGAGGCTGTCCTGGAACTCGCTTGGTAGTCCAGGCTGGTCTCGAACTTACAGAGATCCGCCTGCCTCTGCCTCCCGAGTGCTGGGATTAAAGGCGTGCGCCACCAACGCCCGGCTGGCAGTGTTGATTTCTGGGTGGTATTTTTATTTTTCTTTATTTTTTATGTATTTTCCAAATAAGTTAAAATTTTTTTAGACAAGGTCTCAATGTAACTTAGGCTGGACTTAGGATGTTCACTGTGTAACGAAGGATATTCACTGTGTATCCAAGGATAGTCACTGTGTATCCAAGGATGATCATAAGGGCATGCCTCCTCACACCCAGTTCATGTGGTGTTGGAAATGGAAACCAGGGCTTCAGGCATGGTAGGCAAGCAGTCAAACTCAACCCAAATCATGGAGATGGCCCTGAGTTTGATTCCCTAGAGCCCAAGTAAAGCTGGGTGTGGTACAAAGTATTCATTTGGACTTCTAGTGCTTTTACTGTCATACAAAAGGTGGGGAAAGAAGAATTCTGAGGAGCTCATGAACCAGCTAGCTCTGTGTCTAGGAGAAAAACAACAGAGACCCTATCCAAAATGTATAAGGATTGACTCTGGAGGACAGACAGGCAGACAGACAGACACACAGACAGACAAACACACACACAGACACACACACACACACACACATACACACACACACACACACCTACTGTGGGAGGCTGATCTGATGGGCTGTGGTGGAGTGTTCCCAACAGTCCCATTTCTCTGCTGATCTCATCACCACCTCTTGTGTTCCTGGTAGAGTATGTGGCCTGGCAAGCAGAAATTTGGGCTATCTGGGAAATAAAGGCTAGCACCATGAACCTCCTAACAAAGGAAGGAAAATAATAGAACTAGGCAGGGCAGTGGTGGCACACGCCTTTAATCCTAGCACTCGGGAGGCAGAGGCAGGCGGATCTCTGTGAGTTCGAGGCCAGCCTGGTCTACAAGAGCTAGTTCCAGGACAGCCTCCAAAGCCACATAGAAACCCTGTCTCAAAAAAACCAAAAAAAAAAAAAAAAAAAAAAAAAGAAAGAAAGAAAAACCCACTACCACCGCCAACAACAACAAAATAGTAGAACTAATAAGATTGAGGGAGGAGAGTGGGAGCTAGCAGATAAAGTATCTGTCTTAACAGGAAGGCAATAGATAATGGCCACTGATAAATTTAGATATAGCCACAGAAGCAACTTATATAGTTAGGTGAAGTCAACCCCAAGGTCTGGAAACACAAAAGGCTTTATGAGGTATACTGTAACATGAAAAAAATAAAAGACCCAGAGACTGATATTGGGGTTTGAACTACAAGCTGAAGATCAGAAAAGTAAAGCAGACAGCCACTAGCTCTTACCACTACCTCAGGCTGAATGGGCTGATCCTGCTGCCTCTCCTCAGCGTGGAGAATCCTGAGCCTGAATGCCTCCCTATCTTCAATGTGGCTGGAGAATGAATGCCTGATACTGACTACTGAAGACCCTGCTCCTATCTTTTAGACTCCTCTGGTGCTGGGATTAAAGGCATGTGATCCCAGGTGCTGAGATCTTTGTGTGAGCTGTTTCTCTTTAGGATTGGATCACTCTTGTGAAGCTCTGAGTAGCCTTGGACTCACAGAGATCCCTCTACCTCTTAATCCTGAGTCCTAGGATTAAAGATGTGCACTATCACCTCCTGACCTCTACAGCTTGTGGCGGACTTTGTTTTCTGAATCCTCAGGCAAGCTTTCATAAATCATAAACAATGCATCACCACAGTATACCCTCAGAGGTGTGTAGCTCAGTTGTAGAGAGCCTTAGTGAAGTCCTGGGGTTGATCTCCAGCATACCCTGGGGGATGCTGGTACAAGACTGTACCTCCAGCCTCAGGAAGACGGAGGCAGAGTGATCAGGGGTTAAAGGTTATTCATATTCAAAGTCACTCTGATGTACATGAGATCCTGTTTAAGAAAACAAACACAAGTATGTCTGGATTAAAGATGGGCAAAGTGGTACTGATCTGGAATCCCAGCAGGCTGGAAGGAGAGGCAGGAGATCAGGAGTTCAAGGCCAGCCTATGTTACACAGGACTCTGTCTCAAAATAAAAATAAGTTGATAAAGGGTCCGCATGGTGGGAAATACTTTCAATGCTAGCACTCGGAGACAGAAGCAGACTAATTCTCATGAGTTTGAGGCCAACCAGAGTTATGTGATAAGACCCTGTCTCAAATAACAATTTAAAAGTATTACTGTCAAGATGACTCAGCAGGTGAGGCAAGTGCTTGCTGTAGAGCCTAGTGACCCGAGTGGATCCTGTGAAGAGAACTGGGATTGTACTCTGACTGCTACACACATGCACACACACACACACACACAGGCACACACGGGGGGGGGCTATAGGACCAGACACGACAGACAGATGCTTTTTAAATCTTATCAATTTTGGTGGGAGAGGATGGGCAACAGTCAGTTTACATGTGGAGGTTTGAGAACAACTTGCTAGAATTGACCCGCTCCTTCTATCATGTGGGTCCTGAGGATCAGACCCAAGTCAAGTGTGGTGGCAATAGGGGCCGCCTTGGAGCTTCCTGTCTTGTTTGTTTTTTGGCATGCGTATATTATGTACACATTATTGAAAAAATATTCTAGGCCAGGCAGTGGTGGCACATGCCTTTAATTCCAGCATGTGGGAGGCAGAGGCAGGAGAATCTCTGTGAGATCCAGGCCAGGCTGGTCTGCAGAGAGAGAGTTCCAGGACAGCCACGGCTACACAGAGAAACCCTGTTTCAAAAAAGCAAAGCAAAAACAAAACAAAGCTCATTTGTCTAGGCTCTGAAAATTAACAACAGCAAAAAGTAAAGGCTCACCATGTAGCCCAGGCTGGCCTTGAATTTGCCTCCAGAGTCCCAGGATTACAGGTTGTGCTCCCATGACTTTTTTGTTATGAATCTTAGGCAATTTTATCTAACCTATAATTCTGTCTTCTGGAAAACCAAATTCACATACAGGGTGGCTCTGAAGATGAAGGGAGGTAATATACATACAGCTAATGAGTCAGTGTTGGGCAACTCCTGCTGAAATTCAACATCTGTAATTATTACCCATTATTTTTATAATGAGCCAAATGCTCTGGCTGTATTCAGGACACAGTGCACAGTAGACATGTATGAATGGATTCAGATGCTGAAGATTAGTTTTGTATTAGAATGCTTGCCTACTACAAGCAAAGCCTTGTGTGAAATATAACTTTAGCATAAAAAATTTGTGAAGTTTTTGTTTGTTTTGGACAAAGTCTCACCATGCAGCCTTGGCTGTCCTGGAACTCACTATATAGACCATGCTGGCTTCAAACTCAAAGATCTGCCTGCCTTTGCCTCTCAAGGGAAAGTGCTGGGATTAGAGACATGCACTACCACACCTAGCTTGAGTTTTTGACAGGATCTGACTTGGTGTCTTGCTTGGTCTATAACGCCCTATGCAGACCAGACTAGTCTCCAAGTTATAGAGATCTTTCTGCCTCTACTTCCAAAGGGCTAGGATTAAAGATGTGCACCACCACTCCCGACCACACAAAAAGGTTTTAAAGACGGCTGGGTTGTGAGTTAGAGGATGTTCAGGTCTACCATGTGAGCACCTGATCTAAAAAAAGAAAAATATTAAAACTGTGGTGTCGACTTAAAAAGAAAATCTGTCGTGGGGGAGCCCATCTTTAATCCCAACACTCAGAAGGTGGAGACAGGAGAATCCATGAGTTCGAGCCCTGGTCTATATAGCAAATTCCAGAACACCCAGGACTGCATAAAAGGACCCCGTCTCGAAAAAAAAAAAGGTTGTTTGTTTGGAGCCCACGCCAGTGACTTCTCAGCTCCAAGTCATCACCTATCTTCAACTGCAGTGTCAGCAGAGGCTGTAGTGCTGGCGGTCACGTGGAGCGGCGGGACGAAGGATGGGGGGGAGCGTGTGGGATTTAGAGCGTTTCCGGAGTCGTCATCTACCTTCAAACCATGTTGATGAGGTCTTCGGAGTTGCAAGGGCTTTTCGGGAATAGAGGAGCTCACATGAAAACCTGGGACTGCCCATGTAGCGCGGCGAGTCGTTGTGCAGAGGTCCCGTTTTTCCAGCTGGGGTCGCTGCCAAAACAGGGCGGGGCCTTGGTGGTAGCCACGCCTCCCTCTCTGCAGAGGCTGTTGGCGGCCTTCATCGGTTGCCCCCTCCGTTTCTTCTCTAGCAGCTTCGCACTGTGCATTCACGAATCCGGGGGCGAATAAGGCGTGGCCAATTTCCAATCCCCGCCCCAAATCCCAGTCACCTTTTAATACTGCAGTACTAGCTTGGGGGTCGGCCAGAGGGCTGGGCCAGTGAGGGTGCCCCGCCTACATCTTTGCAGAGGCCGCGCCCCTCTCAGTGTTTCTAAAGCTCCAAGGCAGCTCTACAGGCTGGTGGAAACGGGGGGCGGGGCCTGGGCGGGGCCTGGGTGGGGCGTGACGTCGCGGGGCGGCCGGCCTCCCGGGAGGTGGGGCGGCGGGGAGGCGGCGGCCCTCTCGGCCCAGGCCATCCCGCAGCTGCGGCGGTCGGTGCGCTGCAGGCAGCGCCGGGAGCCGGCTCCTAACAGCTTCCCGCGGCTGCCACCTCTGTCAGTCGGTCCCGGGGTCAGAAATGGCCCTGGTGCGAGACACAGAACCGGCGGCCGGGTCCTCCCGCTGGCTGCCCACGCACGTCCAGGTGACGGTGCTACGGGCCAGCGGATTGAGGGGCAAGAGCTCAGGGGCCGGCAGCACCAGTGACGCGTACACGGTGATCCAGGTGGGCCGCGAGAAGTACAGCACCTCGGTGGTGGAGAAGACGCAAGGCTGCCCGGAATGGTGCGAGGAGTGCTCTTTCGAGCTGCCACCTGGAGCCCTGGATGGCCTGCTGCGGGCACAGGAGGCAGATGGGGCTCCTGCGCCCTGGGCCTCGGGCCCCAATGCCGCCTGCGAGCTGGTGCTCACCACCATGCATCGCTCGCTTATCGGTGTGGACAAGTTTCTGGGCCGGGCCACCGTGGCTCTGGACGAGGTCTTCCGCGCAGGCCGCGCCCAGCACACGCAGTGAGTCTGGGAGCTGGGAGGGGGTGCAGAACGGTTGAAGGCCTAACTGGGCGGGGCTGGTGGGACATCGGGACCCCGACCTCGCGCTCAAGGACACAAACCGACACATTAGTTGTTACTTCTTATTTTGAGGGCCCCTGACTGTCTCCGAAACAACGGTGGGGGCCTGGAAGGCCTGATGGAGTTGGCATAGTGACCAAGCGTTAGGAGTACATGGCCAAGGAAAGTTCGGAATGGGATTCTGAGGCTGTAAAGAATTCAAGGAGGGAAATTTTAGGACTTCGGGTCCTTCCTTCCTATCCTCAAAGAGGTGCCTAGCTTGTAGTGGAGTGGAGAGATGACTGTCTCACCTTGTAGACTCAGCAAGGTGAGGTTGTTATCTTCTAGGGCAAGAAAGGTAATGCCCCAGATAAACCTAGGAGTTACACAAAACCTAGGAGTTCTTGAAAGTATAGGGATGCCTTTCACCATCTAGACATGCTCTCTGACTCTGTGTCTAGGGTACCAGAACGGAGAGAAATGGGCGACCTCTAAGAGTAGGAAGGAAACGCTTCGGTCAGCTTACCCCCAGTGAGGCAGTGGTTATAATGTCCAGCTGTTCTCCAGGATATTTTCCCTAGAAAGGATAGGAGAGGTTTTTGTTGTTTTATTTTGTTTTGAGATAGAGTCTCTATGTAGCCCTGTCTGTCCTGGAATTTGCCATGTAGACCAAGGCTGTCTGCCCTTGAACTCAAAGAGATCCTCCTGCTTCTGCCTCCCCAATGCTGGGCTCAAAGGTGTGAGCCACCAATATCTGCCTGTAAGGATAGGATGTTTTAATCATTTATTTTGTCAGGGGTAAGATCAAGACTTAACGACTTGGCGGGGCAGTGGTGGTACACGTTTTTAAATACCAGCACTTGGGAGGCAGAGGCAGGCTGATCTCTTTGAGTTTGAGGTCAGCCTTGTCTACAAGTGAGTTTCAGGCCAGCCTGAGCTACACAGAGAAACCCTGTCTTGAAAAACAAAATAAGCCGGGCGTTGGTGGCACACGCCTTTAATCCCTGCACTTGGGAGGCAGAGGCAGGTGGATCTCTGTGAGTTCAAGGCCAGCCTGGTCTACAGAGCGAGTTCCAGGACAGCCTCTGAGACAATAATACAGAGAAACCCTGTCTCTGAAAAACCAAAAACAAGCAAACAAACACAAAAACAATAAACAAACAAAATGACCAAAGACTTGGAGCACCTTTTCCTGTTTGGTTCTGGGACCATCTGGAAGTTGGTCCCCAGGGCTGACCACTTCTTGTGGTTTGCTGGGATAGTTTATTTCTAAGCCTCCTGGGTGGGGTCTGTAAGGGAATGGGTGCAGGGTGGTATCCTACATAGGAGAGCTGCTGGAAAGGTTTTGAGTAGATCAAGAAGGCTTGTTTGAGAGGGATGAGCCAGGTACAGATGAAGAAGGAAGCAGGATTTGCATAGAAAAATGTCCAACCTTGAATGATGTTTCCCCCCCCCCCCCCCAAAAAAAAACATGACTAGAGAGGGCCTTTCCTGGCTGGCCTGCTGTGACTGGGATGGAATAGAACTGGGCACGTTCCAGGCAGAGCTCTGGCCTGACTTCATCCCCTCCCCTGGCTTCTCTCCTCCTTCACTCATGACTTGCTGTCTGGTTGCTGGGTGTGGAGTCATGCGGCACAACTTGGTCCTGTTCTGTTCTTTTCCTTCCCTCTTTTGTGTCCTCCTCCTCCTTCCTGGTCCAGGCAGACCAGGGAACCCGGTGTGGGATGGAATGGTCTCCCCTGACCTCTTAGCTCTGTCCTTTTCCCATTCCATCACCCCTTTGTCATTTGGCTATTCCAACCAGGAATTTGTTTTAGAGGGAACGTGGACTAAAGGAGACAGATTAAAACAAAACAAACCACCACCAACAGCAACAACAAAACAAGCTTGCTGGGAGAAGCTTCTTTGATTTTTTTTTCCCTTTCTTTCCAGTTCATGCCCTTGCTTCCTTCTTGGCCTTGAATCTTGCTTAGTGGAGCTGGCCCAGCCTGCAAGTCCAGGTGGGCCTGCTTTCAGCCAAGAACAGTGCTCCCGGGAGAATTGGATGTGCTATCCCTTGATCTGAATGGGAGCCTTAATTTACTTTCAGAAGTCATCTTTTCCACAAGAATTGCTTCACACCCGCCTGGCTGTCTCTCTCTGCTGATGCAGTGACTTGGCTTATTTATAGAGTTGGAGAGGGCAGGAAGGGGGGCATGTAGGGTGGGCAAAGGAAAAGTCCACTCAGTTGGCCTGCTCTGTCTTTCTAGTCCCTGGACCTCACAGCATGCTCACTGACAGAGAACCAGGGCAGCCACTCCTGCTCCAGTCCCAAGGGCTTTAATGGCCACTCCTGGAGGCGTTTCCTGGACCACTCTGGCCTAAGCCACTGAGGCAGTGGGTTTATGCAAAGCCCAGAGAAGATCAGGGGTAACATCCTCCGTTTGGGATGCTGGTGGAAAAGTACTGTATTCACATTAGCTCTAGGAGGCAGGGGTGGAGGGAGCAAGTGGTAGGCCGTTACCTAGAGAAGCTGACTTGGGAAGGGCAAGCTGACTTGAGAGGAGGAGGCTGAGAAGCTGCATGGAGCAGATCCCTTTCTCAATTATGCTGGGCAGGGAAACTCCTGAGTATCTCACTTTACTAGTCTTTAAAATGGGGTAACTTACACCTTCCAGGGTTGACATGGGGGATGAAATGAGAATACAGAGGAAGACCTAGTGCAGTTTCTGTGTGTGTGTGTGTGTGTGTGTGTGTGTGTGTGTGTGTGTGTGTGTGTGTGTGTGTGTGTAGGTCAGTGAACAGATGTGATGGTGGAGGAACATGTTGACATCACCATGGAAGAAGTCCTCTGTCTTAGAAGAACTGCTCAAGAACTTAGAATTTATAAGTGGGAAAGCCTCATGACCACGGGTGGTGACAGGACGAGCATCAGAATTCTCAACTGTCCTTTGTAGCCCTCAGAGGTCCAAGAACTTGAGCTGCACCTGGGAAGCATCATGGTCCTCAAGCCAGGCTCAGGTCACCCAATGGCTCTGCAGCTCTCCCTGTCAGCCTTGCTTGGCACTGCCCGTGCCCTGGAGGAAGGTATGTCGACACAGTGTTGGTCCCTTAACCTTGTCACCACATCTCTGCAAGGGTCATAATCACAGAGATCGGCTATGTAGATGGGTTAGATGCCATCCAGGAAGACTTGGTGTAATTCTCGATGGCAGGTTTCACAAGGGTAGGGTCAGAGTTGCTGTGGGACCTTGCTTCCTGTGCTGTGTCTCCAGCTACCCCAGGGACCCCTGAAAGTCACTTCTCTATGAGGCACTTGTCAACATGAGAGGCTTTACTTGAGGCTTTTGAAATACCCGAAGAGGAAATCTACCCCCACCCCTTCCACACCAGGGATGGAACTTGGCGGCTAGTGTGTTCTAGGCAAGCACATTACTGCTGAGCTGTATTTCCAGCCGTCAGAGAGGAAGCTCTCAAAACAAAACCCATGGTGCATACGACATTTGATTAGAGCTATTTCCCATCTGGAGCACCATCTTTCTGCGTGACACCAGGGTTGGTGGTGTAGCTGGGACAGTTCCAAGGTGCTACCCACTTCTAGCTTTTCACCACCACTTCCTCCCGCCCTGGAATGCCCGGTGGGTTCCAGGTCTGCTATTCTGCCTCCTAGGACCTGGATGGGATAGTGGCAGTTCTCTTTGTTACCTGAGGGGTCAGATGGAGACACTGGATTCTTCTGGACTTCCTATTGTGGATGTGGCTTGTACCACAGGGGAATGAGCCTGAATAACTTGGGAGAAGAGAGAGAAAGTGGCAAGAACTTTTGAATGGGGTTAGGGAGCCTGTCACAGGTTTTTGGGTGGGGAGACCCGCTTTTGGCCCCCTGAGAGTGTTGGTTGGTCTGTACTGGGAAAGGAGAAGACATAGTACCGTCTTGTGTGGATTTGCTTTCTCCCTGACCTGGTCCCAGCCTGGAAGCCTATGGTACAGAAATAAATTGAGCTGGTTCTCTGGAAAAGCCACGGCTGTGGGTTTGTCAGCTGGGGCCAGTTGTCTTCTCAGCATAGTCTAAAATTGACCGTGACCACGCTGCTCATGGCCCCTTGAGAGGCTTCGTCAGTTCCTGCTCAGCCCGTGTCACTCTTTTGCCTTTTAATTTTTGGAGAGGGCAGGGAAGCTCATGGGCGTGGAGGTCTGGGGCAGAGGTCCTTCCTGACTGGTCACGGCCATTTAAACTTCCGATTCTTCTGCCTCTGCCTCCTGAGACCTGGGATGACCGGCATGAGCCATTGCGCTCGGCTGTGTGGAGGGTCTCGGGCTTTTCATCCCACAGCCCTGCAGCCTTCTCTCTTCTGGCTTCTAGGTGTGACCTGGTTTTCAGGAAGCAGCCGAGGCCCACTCAGGCCCCTGGTGTAGGCTCCTGCTTGAACCCCAGGTCTGGAGTGGAGCCTGGGGGCTGCTGGGGAGGGGTCATACACAGAAGGTATCATTAGGATGAACAGGCTTCATCTCTTAATTGTGATTCAGTGGCCTACCCATATTTGGGGCTGTTTGAGCAGTGTCATGGGGGAGAGGGGCTGAGGAGGTGTGACTCCTTCTTCCCAGCACAGTGGGTTCCCCTTTCCTTTGAATCTGTCCCCGGCCCTGAGTCCTGGACCAGACCCAGGCAGTCACTAGGGGGTCTGCCCCCTCACCACTCCACTAAGAAGATAGGAACAAGGTACAAGCCAGTAGAATCACCATCCTGGTTGACCTTGAGGCCTGGTTTTGCTCTATTTTTCTTTGTGGCAGGGTTTCACTGCATATTTGAGGCTGACCTGGAACTCGCTATGTAGTCCAGGCTGCAGCTGGCCTCTCCTTGTTACTGCAGTCACCCTGGCGCAGTGACGCTTTCCTTGCTGCTAAACTGCTGGTCAGGCCTTCTCCAGATGTTTCCCTTGCCCTTCCCACCCCGTTCGGGGCAGATGACTAACACAATGACA